TGAGGGCAGGATCCATTTGTAAAGTACTTGCCAACCCAGTGTGAGTTCAATCCCCAAGAACCTACGTAAAACAAACAAACAAAAAGGCACAATAGTCCAGGTTTGTAGTCTCAGCACTATGTAGGCATACACTGTCTAGAATTCATCTAGATTGTAGATGAATTAGCAAGCTTCAGATTCCCTGAGAAACCATGTTTCAAAAACAAAGGTGAGGAGGGACTGGGGAAGACACCTACACATTCACATATGTGCACTCATACACAAACATGTGCACACACATACACAGAACAGGAAATGAGCCACTTAATACATTACTAAGCTGTTCAGCACCTGATAGCCAACAAAGAGCAGCTGTGGTGGGGATGCCTTCATCTTTACCTGATGATAATTTGTCCTCACACCCATTACTGCTTTCAACATACAGATCAGACTAGGCAGGGAGCAGAGAAACAGCTCATTCATTAGGGACAGAACAGAGCAGCATAGGAATACAGATGTTTTCATAGCTCAGCGTGAACACACATAAACAAACACACACATACACACACACTTTGCTCTCTTCTCTCCAAAGAAGAGAACTGCAGCTGCTCTCCACACCGTCATGACAACTTTTTAATGGTTTGAACCAAGATTTTCTGTCGGTGGCCACATGAGTAACAGCTGTGTGCAGTTCTTATCCTCCACTGCTTCTTGAATGTCAAGGCTCTTAGCTGGCTATGCTTGTTTTAAGTATTAGGTTTTTGGTTTTTTTTTTTCTAGCACAGCATCATCTATTCAGTTATCCCTCCTCCCCTTCAGCCTTCTTTTGCTGGGGGTAGATAACAAAGAGATGTTAGAAGGGTCCACAGCATCATATAGCTGGAATCAAGGCACTTAACTCTCATTTAATGGTTCATAATCTCCACTCTGAGAGCAACTCCCCTTGTTCTTTTCCTGCTCACCTGGTATATATAGATATTGGAATTGTGTGCTATGTGTAGATGTTGATGTTGTGTCTGGTTTTGCTGTCCTCTCGGAGCCTCTCTGTGGAAACCACCACCAACTGCCTAAAGTTGTCTTCCCCCCCTTTAAACGTGTATTTCATGCCTCTCACCTTTGTTCCTCATTTGTAATCTTTCCTAGGTGGACTGGCTGAATAAATTCAATACCCATAGGGACATAATTATCACTGGAAAGTGACAACCAAAGCAGCAGTTCAGAGAAAAGGTGGCAGAGGGAAAGAGAAGGAAGAGTTAGGGCTTCCCATCCCCATCAGAGCAGGAACAATGACAACCTTGGAAAATTTGCTACAGAGACAAAAGTCACAACAGACACCAGACATTTTTTTCTGCTGCTGTTTTTGTTTTGTTTTGACCCATCTGCTTTGCCTGTGTCACCTTAAAGCAAAACTTTATACTCAGAGCAGACACTAATGTGTATCTGGGTCATTAAGTATGAGCTCAAGGTGCTAGTGGAATGCCTGAAGACCTGAGTTCCATCCCCCCACCCACACTGAAGAACAGAGAAGCAGTCCACTCTAGTTGGCCATCAATTCTACACTAAAATCATGGGATGTGCATATGTGCTCACACAGCACAGCACACGAAGCACACGCACATACCTCCACGAATGGCCAGAAACTATGTGCATGTGTCCACTTACTTGGCAAGAAGTTTTGAGCAATCTCAGAACTGTAGCCTTTCTAAGCACATGGTTAGACCTGGGATTTGGCCCTGGCATTTCCATAAAAAAAAAAAAAAAAAAAAAAAAAAAAAGTTTTTCTAAGGAAAATATTCTTTTCTAATCTAACTTTAATGACACTTCCTGCCAGAAACTCAGCTCAATGTAGCTGAGGAGCACACCTCTCCTGTGTCCCCACCAACTGGCACAAGTCAGGCCCTGAGGGCATCCCTGCTGACAGCCCGTGTGGAATGGCAGCTTCATCTAGCCATTGCTTAGTAATTCCAATTCCGTAAGTCCCCCACTCTTCCTAAAAAGTTGGGACTGGCATTGTTCCCATTGTAGACTGAAGCATCAAAGCCCTGGGTGAGGAGACTGCACATGGCTATGGGCAGATGGGGGACTCCAGGCAGCGCCCACACACCCTTCCTCAAGATGCCTGTGCAGCAAATGAGGAGCCTCCAGCTAAGATTCCAACCAAGATTAGATCAAGGAAGGTAAATTCCCCAGCACCCCCCCCCCCAAGGCTGCAAAGAAAACAAATCAACCTCTGCACAAAGCAAGTGTCAGGTGAAGAAGCAAAACACTGGCACAAACAAGAACTTAAATGTGTTTTGTGACTGATTCATTTGGTCAGTGTAACAAGGTATGGACATTGTTAACATCTAGCTCTTGTTACAGCTGAACTGGTGCCCCTTTGTTCTGCTGACCTCTGCACTTCTTGTCACCTAAAACAAATTGTGACATTTAATCTACTATTTGCTACTTGGAGCCAAAGTCATCCTTAACTGATATGAAAAATCTAGAAAAAGAACTATGGAGGTTTTTCAAACTGCTATTCAAAGTTTACTTACATACTGGATTTCAAGGACAGAGGCTTCAGCTGCCAGTGAATGTCTCCCCATCTCCCCATCACAGCTTCGTGGCTGTAGCTGTAGTTCAGTTGGTAGAGTGAGTGTTTGCCCAGTAGACATGAAGCCTGAGTTCTATCCACAGCACCATATAAACTGCCCATAGTGATGTACACCTGTAATTCCAACAAGTGGGAGATGGAAGAAGGAGAATCAGAAGTTCAAGGTAATTCTTGGATCTACCCCTGCATCAAAATAAATGCAAAGAGAGGTAGGAGAATGAGGGAAGGAGGGGGAGGGGTAAGGAAAGGAGAAGAGGGTAAATGGGAGGCGGAGTAAAAGAAGGAAGCAAAGGAAGAAGAGGGGGAAGGAGGAGGAAGAGGAGGGAAAGAAAGGGGAAGAAGGGGAGGGGAGAAGGAAAGAGAAATCTCAGTCCAGGGCCATTTGTGAGTGTTACATGTCCCTGGTTGATTTAGGAAGCTTAACATTTTCTTACTCTGAGACCACCCAACCACCTTTATGATGTCTTGTCCCCATGACAGAGGTGCTCCTGACCTAATAAAGATGTCAAGGGGGCTTCTGATAGATTTCATTTGAGGTTCAGTCTCTTATCAATACATCAAAGATGGTTCTTTAGACTAAGATTTGGGAGGTGACCCCTTCTCTCACCCTACAAGCATCTCTCCCATCTCCCTAAGCCAGAGATGTTTCTCAGCAGTTTGGGTGCTTAGCTCAAACAGTGACCGGGAGCTTGTCTTTATTGTTCTTGTTGCTGTGGGTTATTGGTGAGGGAATAAGATACCCAGCCACTTGAGGTTTTATAAGAATGATCCTTTCAGAGTTCGATGTCTCAGATGTGTCCATGAACTTTGTGTATCTGAGTAAGCCTGCCAATCCACCTCTGGTCCAGGGTGTATAAACAGTTCAGTTTTCATTCTCTCATCTCAGTGGTCTCTGTTGTAACTGACAGGGCACTATGTCGACAGAAGAAGCTATAACAAGTAAAAAAAATTAATTCTCCCTATCCTGCCACCCAGCTTTGTCCTCCAGCACATTCCTCTTCAGATGTTCATCTCCACCTTCCCATTGGCCAGTTAAACTAGGTGGGGTGAAAGCTGTCTATGATGATGTCACAGTCAACTTCCCATTTGAACGGGGTTTATCCTTCAGGGTGGGATGAATCTTGGTGGCTAAGAAAGCCTTCCTACAGCACAAACCTCCATGGTTCAAGAAACACAAGAAAGGGATCAAGGAAGGGAGGTCACTGAGCTGAAATGATGTTGACCTCAAGAGTCCTTAAGACAATGGACCCTGATTAGAGTATCCCTCGGAGAAGTAAAGGACAGCCAACAGCCTCCTTCCTGAAATGGCTCCTAGTGAAGGCATTGTTGGAGATGGGTGGGGAGGGGGTAAATGAAAGGGCAGTGAACATCTGCATTCACCCCTCTCCACTTTCTGACTGTAGATATGATGTGACCAGTTGCCATGGTTACCATGCCTTCCCACCACAATGGACAGTATTTTTTCTCAAACTGTAGCCAAAATAAACCCTAAAGTTGATTTTTGTCAGGTATTCATCATGACAAAGAGAAAGGTAAATAAACAGATACCAAATAAAAATTACTAGCATTGATATTTTCTTAGCCTTGTTACAAATGACTAACAACATGAGAGATGAATTATTAGGATTGCCACACACTCCCTACTTCCTGGTTACTATATACACTCTGTGGCCTTCCCCTTAGTGTGGCTATGGCCTTCTACTTGCTTCAACCAAAAGAACGTGGCAAGGCGATGGCACTCACATGACTGGATGATTACATTACACAAGACTGTGGCAGCGGTTTTTAAATGACATCTGCTTTGAAGATCGAAAAGATGTACTGGAAATCCTTTGTTGAAGGAGCTGCAAGTAGGTAAGAATGGGAATCCTGAGCTGGAAATATGACTCAGTAGTTAAGAAGTAGTTAAGAAGGACCAGAGTTCAAATCCCAGCACTCTGTAACAAGTCTAGAGTCCCACAAACTCAAGCTGCAGGTGATCTGATGCCTTCTTCTGGCCCCTGTGGGAACCTGCACTCATATGCACATATTCTTAATTAAAAATAAAAGAATTCTTTTTTTAAAGGGAAGAACACACAAAGGAGACTTGTCCTTTATTCTTTTTGTTTTATAGACAGTGTCTCCTGGAACTCATAGAAATCCAACCTCTGCTTCTCAAGCACTGGGATTAAAGGAATCATCCCTCCAAACCTTGTCCATTATGTTTTTATTAAGAATTAAAAATCAGTTATCCAGCCAAAACCATAAAATAAACCATTTTCCCATTTTTCAAGGGTGATTTGCCTTCACAATGTTTCTATCACAAATGATATTTTTGATTGCTAAGGAGTAGTTTTATGGTAAACAGATCCCCAACTAGCTAGGATGGATAATGATGGCTTAAGAGGCTGCAGAGGAGATTCTGCTCAGTGGATCCTAACCAAAGTACTCATGAAACCAGCATCATGACCCAGTTTGCTGATACCGGAGGGGCTGCATCTCGGGAAAGATGAAGGAGAGGGAGCACCCATCTTGCAGCTGCTGCAGAACCGTGCACAGCCATAACTGCAGAGATTAACAGCTTCTCACAGCCATAAATATATTTTTTTTCCTCTTCAATGAGCCCTGGGATGAGAATCTGGTTATAATTGGATATGTTGCAATATTGCTTTTCATTTACAATTACATCATTGAGGAAATGAAAAGGAATGGTTTGAGTGTGGCGATCAGGAACAGTGCTTGTCAATAGAGCAGCTCCTTCCTCCGCAACCTCCCTCCTATGCTTGGCACCTGCAATGCAGGGAAATAGCTACCGAGGAAAGGGTGAGAGCACTGTGGCATTGATACCATGGTCAGCTCCTGGCTGGGGTTTTACCCATCTCCAACAGTTTGTGACATAGTTATCCACTTTCTGGAATGGAGAGGGAAAAGAAACTGAGGTGGTAGAGGGTTTGCCCGGCATGCACAAAGCCCTGGGTTTGATCTCCAGCACTTCATAAAACTGGTGATGCCTACCTGTAATTCCACACTGGGGAGGTAGAGGAAGGACAATCCAATCCAAAATCATTCTCTACTGCCCAGGAGCTAGAGCTGGTGAGATCCTGTCTTAAAACAAAAGCTTTCCATAGGCAGATGTGGTAACACAGGGGTGACTAAAGCAGGAAACTGCCTTATTCAATTCCAGCTTGAGCTACACGGCAAGAACTTGTCTCAAATATATATATATTTATGTGATATATATCACATAAAATTATGGCCAGCACATAATGTTTAAGAGAAACTGTAGCTTACTGTCCTGCTCGCTTCTGTGTGCTATGTTTGTTTTATTAGGTCCTAATCCTGTGGGCTCATGGATCACTCTGACTCCTCAGGACTAAAACTCCAAACTGACAAGCTAAGGGCACTGACCTGCTAGGTAAAAGCCCCAATTGAAAGTCTTCAGATTCAGGAAATGAGGGGAAATTAGCCTTGATACAAAAGCCTCCAAAAGAAAGAACTGTTTCAGTTTTCATGGTTCCATCTTTCATGTTCACTGTTGGTCTCCTTGCTGTCCTTCCTGCTGTCACCAAGCTGCAACCTGCTCTAAGTAGAAGCTACTGTGATTATTAATTTAACTTAGACTTTCCCTTCATGTTATAATTGTCTTTAGAAGAAATTCAAAGTCAATATATCATATTCTTGTGTTTTGTTGGTTAGGGCTGAAATAAATGTATTCATTTGGCTCTTTGCTGATTGCATTTTCAAATGCAACATATTTAAATGATAGTTTTCTTTTTGCACACAAAATATTTTAAGGCCATAAAGCATTGTGACAAGTAGTAGCTCCTGTAAGGAGCCAATGCACCAGACATCCCATGCAAGAACTACTAGACGCTGACAGCAGCAATGCCAGGATGTGGCTTCATCAACTAACAGCAAGACGCTTTGTCTACAAACCAGGCCTGGAAGCACATGTTTGTAAACCCCGGCTACTCAAGAGGCTGAGGCAGGAGGATCTCAAGTTAATGGCCAGTAGCATGGTGAAGTGACGTGGTCACCTCTGAGCACTCACAGATTGAACCTGGAGTTGTAGGTCATTTTTCTCTTTGAGGAGAGTGACCATTTTTTCCTCCAGCTCCTTCCTCTTGGCCTCTGACTTGGCAAGCTCATCTTTGGTTTTCTGGAATTCTTCCTTCATGGTGGCCATCTCCTTCTCAGTCTCTGCGCTCTTCAGCAGGGGCTTGATCTTGAAGAAGAGCTTCATCCAGGGCCAGTGCTTGACGTTCATGAAGGCGCCGACGTTGTACTGGATACAGAACAGGGCTTCTCTGGAACGTGGGAAAAGATGGAGAAATCGTTCCACTGGCAGCAATGTGATTGACATTTATTGCAGACAACAGGCTTTTCCTGTACCAATACATGTTCATTCTCACAATCAGAGTATAGTCTGTAGTCTTCAGTATTGCCACTTTGCTAACATGAGTGTTATTCCCTACAGAGCAATTGAGTGTGCTCAACCCCTGGTGAGCTGGCAAAGACAGGCTGAGCCTGGGGGGGCACAGACTGCGCTGTCTGAGCAGCCCCTGCCACAGAAAGAGCACCCTCAAATCAGAGTGGTGGCTGGGAAAGCATGGCCATTGGAATGGGATTGTGCTGTTCCCCTGTTGCCACCTAGCTGTGAGCTGCAACGGGAGGGGCCATAGGTTGAATGATTCACCTTCCCTCAGCCCAGACACTCTACCCTTCCAACCTTCCCTCTTTTGATCTCCACTGAATCAGCCACTCTTCTGTTGTGTCTTCAGATAATAAACTGTCCTTTCTAAATTCTCTAATTGACTCCTGTCAGTTCAGTAAGTTCGTTAACATCGGAAGGAATTTTTCAGCAACGAGTTAACTCCAAAATTGTTCTATTCACATAAAAAATCGAAATGGTAATATATAGTTCTTCAAATGGTAGCAATGGGCTGGCGAGGTTTGGCTGGTTTACAGCAACATGCAGGCATCTTTGGGTTTGATAGCATGCAGGTTTTAATTGTGTCAGCTCACACAATTAGGGATTCTGACTTTGAGAAGGCAGATACCACTACACAAGCTATGATAAAGATGGGTGGGGAAAAATCTCTAGTAATGCCAACCCAAAAATAGAGGTGAACAAAATGAGCAAACTGTGTGTGTGTGGCTAGTGGCTAGAGCAAGGAGTAAGACTGTTGTATAAATACGTTTTGTGAAGTTAATTGGGGAAAGAAGAAAAGGGGTAACCAGGTAGATATGGATGAGGGGACAGGGTCTGCATGAGAATAGGAGGTAAGTGAGTTGTTTAGCATGGCTGGGAAAGACTGTGTGGTTAGACAGGAAAGATAATATGATAGGATATCTTAGATATGACATGGTATCATGAAAAATATGATAGAATAGAAGGTCTTGACAGCCAAGCAAAGTAGGGTGGATTTGGTATGGAATTCCATGGGGAGCTGGGGTCAGAGACGTGGGGCAATGAAAACCGCCTGCTGCAGGCTGTGTGGAGTTGTAGGTCATAGGGCATAGGACAGGAGAGAAGTTCTGGAGAGTCTAGCCTGAAGGGTGACACCAAAGTTGATTGATGTGTTATAGGGGTGAAAGCTCATGCTAATGGAAGAATGAAAGCATCAGTGCACGAGGAAAGCTGATGGAGAGTCCTCGGGGACCCGTGTGATCCCGCTGCTGCGCACAGCCCTTACCTCCTCTGCAGCATCTTTTGATACTCGACTCTCATTAGGTATCCCCTACAGACGGCTTGTGTTCTTGTTATAATCTGGGCTAACTTTTCATCTCTCATTTCTTCTAGGAGACCCAGGAGGCCAGCTTTGAAGAAGACCTGGAGGAACAGAAAGTCATGAGTCTCCCCAGGCTCACTCAGCAGACACAGAAATGGCTATGGGTACATGGGTCAGGAGTACAGGAGTCCAAGCCATACCTTGGTATGTCCAAATTTGTACTGGGTGTGGTCAATATCAATAGAGCCTAGGAGCTTCTCCGAGGCCTTCTTGCTGTCGATGAACTGTCCCTCTGGTATAGCACTTGCATTTAACACTTTGTATCTGCTCAGTAAAAACACAGACAAAAGGGTCAGAAAGGTGCAATTGTTTACCCAGTTGCCAAAAAAAAAAAGTACCTGTTTAACTCCCAGAACAAAAATGGAAGTGTGCCAGGCAGGATAAAGGGGTGTACTTCTTGATTGATTCAGTACAGTTCTTTCGCAAATATAACTGATGTCATTTTTAATGTTATTTGTGGGTGTTATGTTGACACCATGTTGTTATTTTAGCATGACAGCTAAAGATGTCTTGTGTATTGTCAAAATTATGTGTCTTACCGTCTCATCAGTCATCATACTTATGTAGTCCTTGTTTCTGACCACTCTCTTCTCCTACCCCCAGGCCCCCACCACAAAGCAGGCAGGTACTTCACCATCTTGGTGTTCATTAAGAGGCTGAATCAGCTGCAGAACACTCACTATGAGAAAAAAGAGTCTCCATGTCTTTTTTTTAGGAGGGTTCTCCTTCCAACCAGGACAGGAAGGCACTAGAGATACCAACTCATTACAAGTAGCAAAATCTTTTGTGGATGTCAGTGGCTGTCCTATTTGGGTCTTAAACAAGCTAGCATCATCTGAAATGAAGAATTTCAAGTCAAAGAAAAAAATGCCTCCACCAGATTGCCTGTATGATATATGATAGATGTGGGATGGTCCAGCCCACTGTGGTGGCACCCTAGGCAGGTAGGCCTGGGGAGGGGTATATGAAAGCAAGCTGAACAAGCCATGATGAGCCAGCCAGTAAGCTACATCCTCAGTTTCTGCTGCCAGGTTCCTGCTGTGAGTTCCTGCCCTGACTTATGCAGTGATGGATTGTGACATGGGAGCTGTAAGCTAAAGTAAACCCTTACCTCCCCACTTGCCTTCAGTCATGCTTTTTTCACAAAGTAGAACCATTAATGGAGACCTGCTTTGGCTTGCTCAACTCCAGCCCCAAGTCTGTCTACAGCCTTGCCAGGTAGAAGAGGGGCAGGTGACATTATCTTCTAAAAAAAAAAAAATGATGGCCACTCACTAAATGCATCTCACCCTCCCCCCACAACTGTAAAGCCCTAAGGTGAGTCACTTTGCAATGACAAAAGAAAAAAAAAAAAAAAAAAAAAAAAAACAACTGCTGGGCACCTACTAATCTTTTTGTCTCCTGTTCTCAACTAAAAGAGCTCTGATTTGGGAACTTGGAGGATGGTTCTATGTGTAACATGCCTGTCATGCACACATGGGAATCTGAGTTCAATTCCCAGCACCTATGTAAAATAGCTAGCAACTGTAGTGCCTCCTTGTAATTCCAACATTATGAGAGGAGACAGGGGATAGCCTAGCCTACTCAACAAGCTCTGGGCCAATGACAGATCCAATCTCAGGGTGGGGGGAGGCAGACAGCTGCTAAGAAGCAGCACCTGAGATTGCCTCAGGCCTTCACACAAAAGTGCATGAGCACCAATGTGTCCATGCATATACTCACAAAGTTTTATTTCATGGCTGTGATTGCTGTTCTTCATAGTCATTTGACTACATCCGAAATTCACCAAAGCCTGGTATGTAACCTGTGAGGGTTTTCTTAATTAAAACATTTGAAGTGGGAAGACTCATTTTTAATCCAGATCTTTTAAGGTGGAAAGACCCACCTGTAATCTAGACTACACTTTCTACTGACAGCTTATATAAGGACATGGAAAAGGGAACCCCCCCCCCATTAGGTGGAAAAGCCAAACTGAGAATGATGGGAAGAGGAAGGGCAGAGTCAGAGGAGTTGCCAGCCAGATGCAGAAGGATCAGGAGATGAATGTGCTTTGTTGAAGGAAAGTTCCGCCATGTAGTGGAAGGTAAATAAGGAATATGGGTTAACTTAAAATGTAAGAGCTAGTTAGTAATAAGCCTGAGCTATTGATCAAGCATTTACAATTAATATAAGCCTTAGTGGGCTTATTTGAGAGCAGCTGTGTGACAGGAAAACTCCAGAAACTAGCCAACAGAATAATCCTCAGCTTAGAGATTCAGTTTTGTATATATGCAGATTAACTGACTTGGTGTAACAGCTTGGAACCCATCTTCAGGAGGCCTGACTATTCCTATGCTTATGGGAAAATCCCTAGGAATCATCTGCATAAATTTCTTCTTTGGTGCTGAAGCAAAGGAGCCACCAGGAACTGAGTCATTTTCAGTTTTCTTTTTCATTAACCCAAAATTCCACTCCCGAATACAGCTACTGTGCCTTTTGCCTGATTGCTCTTGTAATTTCTTGGCAGTGTGTTCCTCCACATCTGCCACCACAAGAGCCTTGCTCAGTTGCTAATGTAGACTTGGCATGCTGACAGCGAGCCATGCAATGAACATAAACCTACCATGGAATGCTCTCCATCTTGTCCATGTGCTATTTCCCTTTGATCATCATTACCAGATTTTCTCAGACAATAGCTGAAAATTACACTGTACAGGTTTGCAGGAGGTAAGACTGTGGTTTTTCTGCATTTGAAGGGAGCTCACAGCTTCTCCCCTATACTGTATCATTTGATTCATTATCTCTACAGTTTGCATTATCACCAAACATCTTTTTTTTTCCTTCAAATCCAATCAGCCAACCTATTTCCTCTTCTAAAAGACACACAGTAATGACATTGGACAGCATCTGTTTTACAGCAGTATCCTTTCTGCTATGCTGTTACTACAGTGAAACACTGTGAATCCTACTTGAAAATGGCCTCCCTCTGTTCAACCCCTAGTTGTACATTTTCCCTGTGCTGTAATCAAATACCAGAATAAACATAATTGCACAGTGGAGGAAGAAGTTTGAGTGTTGCTGTATAGACATTTCCTCTAAAGTGATACATTCCTTCCTGGAAGAAAGTTCATTAAGATAAAGTTCTAATGAAAGCTTCTTGAGAAGCTTCAGGAAATAAACAACTCACAAGTCTCAGAAAGTCCCTAAAAATGATCACATGGGCAACACTTTTCCCTCCACAAGGTTACACAAGCAATCAGAACTGCTGAGAACAGACTCTGCAACCTGTGGAGCTGCCTGAAAGTCCTGCAAAAAGCTATAGAATTGCAGCTTTTCTGAGTTATCACTCATGCTGGAGTGACCTTGAATGATGCAGCTGTCTTTAAGTTGTCCCTGCTCCTGACAAGGAACCTATTACCCATACTCTTATAAGTAACCACAATGAACTCATGGGTTCTCCAAACTGGACTCCAATCTGTTGTTGTTTTTCTATATGGGTTTTATAATATATACCCCCGAGGAGAGTATCATACAGCAAGGAACAGTCCATGGTGGAGGGAAGGGCAAGATGATAGTAGGCTCTCTGGTATTAAGAATGTGAACTGGAAACTTCATTTTATATCATGGAGGAAGCACAGTGAACAGAAAGTGGGGCTAGCAAATAAAATAAAATAAAATAAAATGCTCAGGCGCACTTCCCAAGGGCCACTTCTTCTAATGAGGCAGCACCTTCCAGATATCATTAACTGGAGACCAAGTGTTCAAACACACGAGCCAACAGAAAACAGCATATTGAAACCATAACATAACCCTGGTGCCACATATGACCCAGCCATGGCCAACCCAAGTCACAGTTAATCTTCTCCCTATGGACTTAATTGTGTTTCTCAAAATTTTTAAGCCCTTGAAGTGCTGACCCAGAGAACTTCAAAAAGTAGCCACAGAATAATTGATTGGAGGTTAATTTGAATATAATGTCTTTAAATAATCAATAAACAGGAAGTCATTAGCCAGGACACTAATCCAATAACTGGTGTCATTTTGTTCTTGGTCATACCTGTAATCCCAGGACTTGGGGGGCTGAAGCAGGAAAACACAAATTTGAGGCCAGCATGGGCAATAGAATGAAAATTACTAGAGTGGGCAAGCTACAAATACAAGGAATATGTGAAGCCAAAGGCAGAAAATAGCACCATACTATTTAGAAGTGAGATGTTAGAAAAACTCTGCCCTCACTCTGAATCCAGCTTTCTACCTTCACAACTGGGGGAGCATAAAAATTTCTTATTAAGTGTACTTAGTGTAGGAGCTTTTTATGTTATGTTTGTGTCAGATGACCAATACTGACATAAGAGCCCATCTGGGGCTAGGGATATATAGCCCAGTGAGTAGAGTGCTTGGCTATCATGCAAGAAGTCCTGGGTTCTGTCCCCCAGCACTGCACAAAGCAGGCACGGTAGCACAAGCAGCACTTGAGAGGTGCAAGTAGAAGTTTCATAAATTCAAGGCCGTCCTCTGCCACATAGTGAGTTCAAGGCCAGTACAGGCTACATGAGCACCTGTCTCCAAGAAACAAACTGAAAGAAAATAAATAAATAGAGTCCATCTGGTCAGTAGATCTCTGGATATTTAAATGTTTACCCACCAACTCATTCAGGGAATTTTCGTGTAGCTCATTAATAAAAGAATTCAACATGGCTTCCTAGTCTACATCAAATGTCAAGAAATACAAGAGAATTTGAATCTTACAGCATTCAAAAATCAGAAGCTGGCAATTGTTTTCTCCCCAAACAGAATCTTATCCTTCTGTAATCAATATTAATAACACCATCAGCAGGCTTGCCTAGGTCAGATGAACCTCAGAATCTCATTATGTGCTAAAGGGACAGCTGAGCTGCCATGAGAAGTAATGCCAAAATATTAGGGCTTTGTATAAATGTATTTCTTGTTCTTGCAAAGAATTCTGTAAAGAGGCAACTTGCCATGGAAGCTGTGCTCTGTGCAGTGGCTACTTCCAGCCTCTGCTTTAATAGATTCTTTTCTACAAGTTGGGGACTCAAAGCTCCTGAGTGCCTCCACCCAGGAAAGATAAGTTGCACTTCTACTCCCTGTTGGCCAGAACCACTCACATAGTTTCATCAACAGAGGATGCTGGGAGATAGTCTTTTAGGAATTCAAGAAGAGAGAAGAATGACTATGGTGGTGAGAATTCACTCAAGAGCAAAAGTCAATGTGATTCTTGTGAGCCATTGGGTAAAATCAGAGAAGAGGACTTACCACTCCCAGAGGAGAAAAGGCTGAGTCCAGTTGCTGCTACTAGAGTATAACAGATCTTTCAATTGTCCATGGAGACCTCATTTTGTAATGTTGACCATTACACTGTTCTTGGGAGATGGAAAATGAAAACAATGAAAGGGTCTTTGGGGCCAAATGAATGGCAGGGCTCCTTGTTACTGAACTAACAAGAACGAATGGCCATTGACAAGAATTAGTGGCCATCTTGCATTTGAAATGTCAACTCTTTAATGAAATGAGTGTTGCCCTGCTCATGTCCTAAATTAACCAAAT